ATAGGTTGTGTGGTTTGTAAATCAAGAAGATGGCTTAAAGAGAAAGAAGAAAATAAACGCAGAATAAAAGTCGAGTCACGTAATAGTTACGTTCTATTTAAGACAATATTGCCCAGTAAAATACAATCACGGTTAACGACAAACGCCTAAATACAATGACTTTCAACTTGTATATAGTTGTATTTCAAATATACAAGCCTATGGCGAACAATATTATTGTTTGGAACTCTCGAGACTCGATAAAATAAATCAAAGAAAATAATATGTTTTATGATCTTTGAAAGTGTAATGCATGATCTCTTAATTTTGAAATTATGAATGATTTCATGTATGCAAGTATTTATAGATGTAGAAAAAAAACAAATATGTTTAAGTGTCAAAAGCACCTTTTGGGAACGAGAACAAATGCATTTAGTCACCAAGGGGAGCGACTCTCCGCTGTCCATGCGCCGCGGGTTCGTACGAACTCATTTGGACTCGGAATCGAGTTTTGTTTTTTTTTTTCCTACTCGTCCCCAACAAATTCTTCTAGAGTTATAGCATGCAAGCTGCATGATAAGGTCTTGTTTAATTATCCTAACATCCGTCCATGACAGAATATTTTTCGAATCCAATAATTTGAGTTGCTTAAACTCAATTGCTTCATTCTTACATTTCTCACATATACAACTTAAAATTAATTTCTCATTCACCATAAATTGGTTTTGAGAATTTTTTAAGTCTTCCACCTACAAAAACTGGAACTGTAAATTCAGTACAAAATTATTTTTTCTATATGGTTCAAATGAAAAACTAGTTTTGGTGTGAAGGCCGTGAGAACCATATTTGATGTTATTTGTAATTGTGATGTTATTTTTAATATTACATGGCACTATTATTTTCACAAATGCTAATATAAATTGTGTTGCTAATTTTAGTCAAATACATCATGATTAAAAATAGCATTAAAACACAATCAATCATAGCAGTAGCACTACATACAATATCACTCACCCTGCCCGACCTCCACACCATCTCCGCCCCCAACGCTGCCTACCACAGCTCTCCCCTGCTGGCTTTCGGCTTCTCCGGCGGCTGCAAGTCCGCTATCGGTCCGTCAAATTTCCGCCGCGAAGGCCGGCAGCTCCGTCTGTCATTGATATATCCAAACCGTCCAGCACTTAATGTCCACAACCGCCACTACCGCTGCTATTGCTGCACTTTGTTGTCGGCAGGAACCACATCGACGTCGTTGGAGAGCTCCACATGTTCGGCGTTGTTGGAGAGCTCCATATGTTCGACGTCGAGCTCATCAGCGAGCCCAACACGAGCTGCCGCACGACGCCCCTTAACGTGGCGACCAACAGGGATGTCGTCGGAGAGCTCCTCATGTCCGGCGTCGCGGTCGCGGTCGACATGGAGATGGTCTTGCCTAAGCAGTGCTAATTGAAATTACAATTAAGAACCTACAAATTGAGATTCGGAATTTAGGGATTTCGTTGATTTTTTTTTTTTTAAATTAGAAAATGTTTAGGGACATATTTTCAATTTCACAAATTTTGATTATTTTAATAAATGCATATTAATGATAAGTAACTTGCACAATATTTAAAAATTTTAACATGTAATTTATGGATATGCATAGTAAAAATTACATGCATTGCATAATACACATTAATAAATGCACATTAACGATTTCAAGGATGCACGTTACCGTAACACAATGACCACACATGAAGAATCAAAAGTACACCGCGATACGCTAGTAAGACTGTTGTTACTTTTAAAATTTTGGTTATTTTTTTAAAACAACCAAACTAACAAGTCGCTAAACTACATAAAAAATACATTTGTTATTATAATACATAAATATATTATGTCTTTTATATGAAAAATAATATAAATTATTAAATAAAAATAGTAGAATCTATATACATTTTTATAATATGAATTACCAACTATTTCAACTATTTACGTTAATTTGATTAATCAATCAATAAAATCGATTATTTTGTTCCTAGTTTGAGTTGAGTCAAATCGATAAAAAATAACTGCACTTTTAGTATTAGTGTCGGACGGATTGCACATTAGTGACTACTAGTACAATACCCGTGTATTACACGGGTGCTTGTTAAAAAATTATTCTTAAATTTTAAAATTAATGAGAAAATTATATTAAATTTAGTTTACTTTTTTATATGTGTTACTTATGACTTACATGTGTTATATTATATTAGTTTTTATAACTTATATCATATAACTACTTGAAATATAAATATATTAGTTGATAAATAATTTTATTTTTCTAATTAATGTTAAAAATAATTTTATTATTGTTATAAAGATAAATATAAAATATTTTTTTTGTACATACAATATGGATGTTAAATCAAAGCTTATCAAAAGAAGATTAATTTGATATATTACATATGTAAAACTGATAAAAAATACAAAAGTTATTAACTTTTAAAATATATATACAATTCAATAGTTATAATAAGGAATGATATTAAAATACAATTAATACATGTAACATGACCATAAATAATCAAAATATTTATGATAATCCGAACCTAATTATTTTTGGTTTGGAATTAAATTAAAATTTACCCAAGCCTAATAACGAAGCATGTAATTTTGCTACATAGGATTCCGAAGCACCAGAAGCAGCCACGTAGGCTCAGTGCATTCTGTATTAATATACAGGGGATAGGGGGATTAGATTACACTATAGCAACTGAAACCAGTGTCCGTGTAAGCAACCAATGTGACAAAATTGTAGTTACATTGATGCGGCGAACATTAAGCTTCACGTAGGTCGTCACAGATTCATGTAATTAACTGTATATTTGGACCTAACATGCAGATAACAAACTAGGCAAAATCCCAAATGTGAAAGGTTTAGATATCACTTGGTATTAAATAAACAAATACAACAGGGCCACAATCCATAGAGGCTCAAAACAATCCAAATGTATATCGTCTATCTGATCCACAACACAATTAAATAGAACAGGAGACGAAGACTTCTTACGACGGTACAGGTTTCATGGCTGAGATCATCACAAAGAGTCTATTTCTGATGCAAGTGAAGTTCACAAGTCCGCTAGACGTACACAGATCCTCGAGTTCTATCTCGCTTAAAAATACATGACTGCCTGACAGTTGTGCAACAATCTGCACCCAAATTAACTAAATTAATCAAACCATTACAGATGATAGTAGCAAACCATCAAGTAAGACAACATTTTTATCGACCTAAATTAAGAATAATTTGGGATTTTTCCAACATGGTGGCATCTCTAGGTCAGGATAACTCTTCTAGAAGAGAAAAAAAAAAAAAAAAATACCTGACGCAAAGGGGCACGTAGCGGAATATATGAAAGGGGGCCGTCTACTATGTACGTTGTGCCAACAAACATCCCTCCAGGTTTCAAAACTCGGCTTATTTCTGCAACCTATTATTAAATTGTAAATAAAAAGTTGACGAGTGGTTATAAATTAGCACCAACGTACAAATAAGAAATTTGACAGTCAGATGTTCTTGCTTTCCTTCATTTTTATTTTTATAGATAGTCAATAATTTTTTTTCACTTAATTATATACTGGTTCAAGTGATAGGACGAATTTTATATTTCTTCAAGGTTTTAAATAGCGGGCTAAAACGTTTATGGCAACTATAGTGGAGCTATATCGGAGATGTAGCGGGATTTAGCGGCTAAATTGCACATGAATACAAATAGCGGCACGCTGCCAAAAAAAGCTATTTCTCAAATAGCGGCAACTTTAGCGAGCTATTTATTTCCTTGATTTTCTTATCAAGCAATCAAGAATCAGAAACCATAAGGTGAACTAAGAGGAATAAACTTGAAAAAATATGTTGAGGTATTGTAATTACAGCTGCAGATGGCGAAGGCCAACAGTGCAAAGCAGCACCGGCATGCACAGCATCTACGCTACTTGTTGCAAAAGGCAGCCGTGATATATCAGCTCTAACCAAAATTAAGTTCCTGAAAGAGTAAAAAAGAAAGTTTCATGAAGTTCGTCAAATTTCAAAAACCATTCTAACTAACCAGAAAAGCTAGAAAATCGTTAAAAAGGAAAGTATTCTTGCAAGAGGAATGTACTCTTCAGGAAAGTTGTTCTCCTCCTTAACAAAGTCGTAACATTGCTTAAGCATTGTCTCAGAGAAGTCCAAAGCCACGACATTCGAAAACAATCCACTTTTTGCAAAAAGGCGCGAAAACATACCACTTCCACAGCTTGCGTCTACAATATTACCACCTAAGACTGGTTTGAGATAATCCTTGATCATTTCAAACTGCAAACCGATGCCATTATGCAGTAAGCTTGGCCAGGGAAAAATCAGGGATGCACTTTCATGAAGAATAAGGTTGAAAGTGGTAAACTAGAAATCAAATAAGAAAAGAACAAACAGGAAGTTCTTTTCATGGTCAAAAAAATCCGAACGAGTAATTCACTTCACTTTCTGAGTTAAAAATACCAGAAATGCAAGACCTCAATCTGAACAGACATTATTGATGGGATCTTAAAACTCCACAGTCTGCACTTTCTTGAGGCATACAGAGAATATAAGCTGTGTATGATTCTTGTATGGTGCAAATTAGATACACATGCAGTAGATACCATTCTTGTCAAGTAAAAATGTTAGAACTTAAAAGATGAAGCAAAACTATGGCATACCTCCTTTTCTGGACCTGGAAAACCACCTCCAAGTGAGAAACTTTGCCGCCAACCTCTTTCATACAAAAATGATACCAAAGGAAACCTGTTTGAAAAACTTTTCTCAAGTTTAGTAGGCACGGAAGAAGGTTTGTACGGCAAAGTTCACATATTAAGAATATAGAGACGTGCATGAATCCTCCAACGAATATAGTACCTATGTCAGAACTAGGATTTTCAAAGGACAACATAAGAAGTCAAAAAATTGCTACTTCTACAAAACTAGCTTCATGTTTTCAAGTATGTAGAAGTTAGTATGTTGGATTTTGACAGCAAACAAAATAGATTAGTAAATGGAATAACATTCGGAGATCACACAATACAAATAAGGACATATGCTCGTCTAGAGCTTGGCAACTTATCTTCAACCTGATACGGGATCGATTATATATGGAAAGAATACAAAATTGTAGGCATTTGAAAGATTAATCAATATTCAAACTATAAACATATCTTTTACCTGAAAAGCTCTGTGGAGGCTGGCTTAGGCTCCCCATACAACTTGCCTCCACCAGTTATGGTCAGGTCAAGATATGAATCCTTGCCGGAGTACGACTTTCTGCACACGCTGCACTGCAAAGTAGACCGAGCTATATTTTCCCTGCCAATTATCAATGAAAACTATAAAAATAATACTTATAGTTGTTGGCTTGTTGCAGTGGAGGTCGGGAAATAATCACTTACGAAAAAAAATTGAAATCACCGTTACAAATTAGCGGCTGATAGCAAATTGGACAGGCTAAAATGCTTCTGCGAACGTCCAACTTAGTCTCTTCGATTACATCCTAATATAAGCAGAACAAATTCGATAAGAAGCCATGTTACTGAACTGTACATTGATTTCTCTAGGAAAACTTAAAATAGGCTTACTTTGTTCAAATCAAACAACTATGTTCTTGGATATGTATATGCAGGTTCATAAACCGAATTTCAGTGGGCATCAATCATCCATAACCCAAAGTTCAGAGAGAGAGAGAGAGAGAGATTTACTGGCTTGGTTTCGACGGCGGCAGCTGATGAAGCGCAGACTTTGTGGGCGAAAAGACGGCCATTAGAAGGCATGAGCTGAGAAGACATCAGTAAAGAAGAACGGCGCCGTACTGGGTTTAAGCTGAGTTGTATTGGTAGCAAGGCGCCTGATACTGTCGAAATCGCCATTAATTTCACTATAGCTTCAGGAATTGAGCTCTGTGTGGCGTCAAATAATTAGATTCCATCTATTTCTCTCTGCTGTGTGTGGAGAAACAAAAAGGCGACGTGTTTCAATGGGTCCCCATGATCTGTTGAGCCTTCATTAGTGTGTGTTGCGAGTTGGTTCGTCTGTTTCAGAATGTTTATATCAGAGTTCACTCCATTAAGCCAAGGTTCCCCTTTTATCTTACTTAGTAGGGCTGCTATTTCTCATGAAATATGCTATTTGTACAACTTTTCATCTCCAATTTTACTATTTTTATTTATTTTATTTTACTTTTATTTAGATTAATTTCAATATATATATATTGAATTATTTAATTTTTTAATAAATAATAAAAAATTATTTATATATAATAGCATGGAACTGCCTAAATTCAAACACTTGTAATATGATTACAAAAGATGTGAAAATAAGAAAACTAACATGACAACCATAAAAGAAATATTTATTACAATAATAACATGTCTAATTTTTCTAAACTACAAAATTCCTCCTAAAAGTGATCAATCAATGCGTTACGAAGATCGATATGAGTTTCTTTATCTCTAATTTGTATGTATTGAGCAACAAATGCATGAAACTGAGAAACTTCAGTGCCCACTGACTCAACATCTGGAATCTAGGCCTCCCACTCATACACTCTAAGATAGTAAGCATTTTCTTTCTTTGGTCTATAGAAGTTGTTGTATGTCAAACTTCTTGGGACGACACAAGAGATGTATGATTCGCATAAACGAACCAGCCAAAACCTATTCAGGGCCACAACTTGAGCCCATGAACCATGCTCGACAAACCTATTCAGGCTCTGTACAGACATACACGACATGTGGGACCAGACGAACGATTATGAAAGATCTTCTCATTTCGTCCTTCATATCTCACCTCGTGGTTCGTCTATTGCTGGGAAAGCGTGTTGTCACCGGGGATGCTCGCGTCTCGGCTGTGCCACGTGCGCAGGGCTCGCGGTCACGTCGCTCCATGTTGCGTCATGCGTCTCGCTGGGTGATGCATCGTTGGGGTTGTGCTTGCTGCGTGCGGTTGGGCGTTGCGGCGCTGGTGCCCGGCTGCTGCGAGCATGCGTCGCGGGGATCAACGAGCAGGGGCTCAGTGCGGGGCGGTGGTGCACGAGGTACGACGAATGTCTTGGGATTTTCTAGGGTGACCTAGGGACTTCTGTTGTATTACCTTACACGTCTTCGCTCATTTTAGTGGGCGACGGAACGAAGCTCCCTCGATTGGGTTTCTAGAGTTTATGTTGTGTTGTGTTCTCAAAACCCAAGAGAGATTGTGTATTTATAGGGAGTCTAAGGAGGTGTCAAATATGGACTTACCAGGCATAGGCTTAACTGTGAGGCAAGCCCACTCTACTCATACTTGATCGATACTTCAGTCCACTAAAAAAATATCGATGCACTCCCCATTTGGTTTCCAAATTACATTTGAGGTCCGACAATAATTACTAGATTTATCTCTCCGTATGATTTAATGCTCGTCAATTAATTTAATTACTGATAATATAATTATTTGAAATAGAGCTATTCGTGTTTGATTCTTGTAAAATTCAAGAAGTTCAAATACTTTATTTATAGAAACTACTCATGACTCTTCTATCAACCTACGGTGAGCTTAAGGCACCATATCTGACAAATTGGAAGTTTACATTGATTCCCGAAAAATGTCATGAGTTGGCACCTCCATATGCAACCATGTATCCCCCCATTCCTAAAAACACATGTTTACGATGAGTTTTCCTAAAAACCCTCTCGTCATTAAAATGAATTATTGATAGAACACCTTATCATCTGTCAGTTGGTATTGGTGATATTGTGTGATTTTTTTTATGATATTAGAGATGTCCCTCCAAAATTTTCACTCACCCAAGCGATCGTCCGGAAACAAAATATGCAGATAGCTTCCCCTTCCCCTAGGACGTCCAAAAACATAGAGGGCCTCTTATTGCATGCCAAACTTCCTAGGAAAGTCTAAGAGATGTATGATTCGCATAAACGAACCAACCCAAACATATCCAAGCCCACATTTTGAGCCCATAAAGCTGACAAAGAAGTCCAAGAGTCCTTTATTAGCATTGTGCCAATTCGTCCCTAATTGCGATGTCGATTGTCAACAAGATTTATTTCTCTCTCTATAAAATGTGAATAGGAACCAACAAATCAAACTGATAAAGACACCACCCCCCAACGGGTCCCATTATCAAAATTCAAAACGAGCGTCCCATCATCAAAAGTAAAATTTTTGCATGGCGAAACGTGTCAACCACCTAGCCGTTATGATGGCATACCACCATTATTAATTTTTCACTTTATTCATGTATAAATGAGGCTCTAAATACCTCACAAAACAAACAAAATATTATACAAAAAATCATACACTTGAGCAATTACTCTCAAATATATTCAAACACTTACTTTCTTTTCTATAATGCTTTTAACTGGTATATGTTCGACTAAGAGAATTAATTATGTGCATCGTAAGTTTATATGCTTCTTTATATTCATGCAGTTACACAGGTTTCGCAGCTGATATCATAATAAAATTTCTATTTCGAGTACACCTAAAGTCAATAAGCCCACACGAGCAGCACAGATCTTGGAGTTCTTCTTCAGAAAAATAAAAGTGCATACCCAAGACTCGAGCATAGACCTGCAAAAGGGCATAAACGGACAAAACCAGTGTAAGAATCGAGGGAATAACGGGTGCAGATCCACACAGATGAAGCGCACAATGACAGAAAAACCCAGATAAAGCCCAAGTTAGGTTCCATCCAAAAACTAATTGGTGAAAAGAAGAGCAGCCCACGCGTTTTATAAGTTGGGTCTATTTTTTCTTTATAAACGATGTGAGACAACTCACAATTGGTATTATATTCTAATAATCAGCATGCAATAACTAAAATTA